ACTCAATCAAACAGACTCCAACCTCTCCACAATGGCCAAGACCAGAGAGCTGTGTAAGGACATCAGGGATAAAATTGTAGACCTGCACAAGGCTGGGATGGGCTACAGGACAATAGGCAAGCAGCTTGGTGAGAAGGCAACAACTGTTGGCGCAATTATTAGAAAATGGAAGAAGTTCAAGATGACGGTCAATCACCCTCGGTCTGGGGCTCCATGCAAGATCTCACCTCGTGGGGCATCAATGATCATGAGAAAGGTGAGGGATCAGCCCAGAACTACACGGCAGGACCTGGTCAATGACCTGAAGAGAGATGGGACCACAGTCTCAAAGAAAACCATTAGTAACACACTATGCCGTCATGGATTAAAATCCTGCAGCGCACGCAAGGTCCCCCTGCTCAAGCCAGCGCATGTCCAGGCCCGTCTGAAGTTTACCAATGACCATCTGGATGATCCAGAGGAGGAATGGGAGAAGGTCATGTGGTCTGATGAGACAAAAATATAGCTTTTTAGTCTAAACTCCACTCGCCGTGTTTGGAGGAAGAAGAAGGATGAGTACAACCCCAAGAACACCATCCCAACCGTGAAGCATGGAGGTGGAAACATCATTCTTTGGGGATGCTTTTCTGCAAAGGGGACAGGACGACTGCACCGTATTGAGGGGAGGATGGATGGGGCCATGTATCGCGAGATCTTGGCCAACAACCTCCTTCCCTCAGTAAGAGCATTGAAGATGGGTCGTGGCTGGGTCTTCCAGCATGACAACGACCCGAAACACACAGCCAGGGCAACTAAGGAGTGGCTCCGTAAGAAGCATCTCAAGGTCCTGGAGTGGCCTAGCCAGTCTCCAGACCTGAACCCAATAGAACATCTTTGGAGGGAGCTGAAAGTCCGTATTGCCCAGCGACAGCCCCGAAACCTGAAGGATCTGGAGAAGGTCTGTATGGAGGTGTGGGACAAAATCCCTGCTGCAGTGTGTCAAGACCTACAGGAAACGTATGATCTCTGTAATTGCAAACAAAGGTTTCTGTACCAAATATTAAGTTCTGCTTTTCTGATGTATCAAATACTTATGTCATGCAATAAAATGCAAATTAATTACTTTAAAATCATACAATGTGATTTTCTGGATTTTTGTTTTAGATTCCGTCTCTCACAGTTGAAGTGTACCTATGATAAAAATTACAGACCTCTACATGCATTGTAAGTAGGAAAACCTGCAAAATCGGCAGTGTATCAAATACTTGTTCTCCCCACTGTATCACTCGTTGGCCTCTCCCTCTGTTCTGGCACAGATCTACTATTCACAGGGATCCTCTCAGGATCCCCCACCCTTGATCCATCCTATATTTTCTTCACTGCCTCAGCATTTGACTACTTCTGTAGTAAACTCTTAGAAAATAAATGTGCTATCTAGAACCTAAAAGGGTTCTTTGGCTGTCCCCATAGGAGAACCCTCTGAAGAACCCTTTTTGGATCCAGGTAGAACCCTTTTGGGTTCCATGTAGAAACCCTTCTACATGGAACCCAAAATAGTTCTACATGGAACGAAAAAGGGTTATCCTATGGGGACAGCTAAAGAACCCTTTTGGAACCCTTTTTTCTAAGAGTGTACTCTGACCCTGGCCACCTCAACTTGCCTCTCTTGCCCCGGAGACTTCCGATCCCCAGCAACATGGGCACCCCTACACACACAGCTTTATCCACTGAAACTACACAATCCTCTGTTCCCATGCCCACCTGCACACTTCCCACATCTTGGAATCTCCCTCCTACACACTGCTGCGACATGACAACAAACGTTGCACCTGAAACAGCGCAGTGGATTCGGCACAAAAGCTCTAACATGATAACTGATATATCCTAACATCACTTTGTCGGGTAAAGACAAAACTCAAAAGCACTGACAGTGACTCCTCTGTTTCACCACGCTCACCACCAGGTCTGTGTCGCATCAAACGACGGGCATCACAAACAACTGGAATCTTCAACTTCAATTGCTCCACCTCCACACTTAACGCTACACCCAGAAATCACTCATTTCAATGGTGCCCTGTTCCTAAGAGCAAAGCAAGAAACAGATCTTGACCCAAGTTCCGTGACACGGAGCGCCCGCTCCCTCTGGTCAGAAGAAACACAAACAAATATCACAAGTCCACTACAGGTTACCTTCACTGATTCAACTGCACCCAACTCTTTTCCCACCCACCCTGAAACCACAAATGGATCCGCCAAAAGGCAAGGATCCACCTTCTCCAAAAACTTCACTCCTTCTGGACCAGATACTTCTTTATCATGTCCATTGATGCCAGGCTCGGGATCCAAGATCCAAGCTCTTCACCACATATTCCATCTCACTTATCTCGCCCTCATTCACTTCCATTTCACTTCCAGAACTCGGTCTGGTGCACGGCTCACTCTGTTTGCACTTGACACCAATCTTCTTCAACACATTTTGAGAGCATGAGCAGTGGCACAACCATTCTCCAAAAACCCGCTGCTCCAATCTATCGTTTGGTTTCAGTCATGGCCTTTGCATTTCTTATTGACGAAGCTGAAAAACGAGGCCTAATCTGGAAGTTCAGCCCCCCTTTAAATGTCCTGAGTGGTGACTGTGCTGTGTCCTTGCTGAAACTGCCAAGATGACTGTTAAAGTGTAGGCCTATTTTTTTTATATTTAGGCTACTCTATTTGAATGCAGTGGCTAACTGTTGTTTATTTTCTTTCATGCAGAAGAAGCCTAAGTTATGGGCTGGGCATCAGGGCAAACCATCATTGTAATTTTCGGTTGAGGTAGGTGTGTTTGTTTATTTGCTGTTCGTGACTCAGATATTAAGCAGATTTTACGCCCTCAGCTATTATTTTCATACAATTGAAATCGTATTATTTTACCAGCTCAGGCTGCATCCGTTTCAGTTTCAGCAAGGTTTCAGCTTTTAAACTTGTTCTACCTGCTAGCCTACCTGTGAGTGGCTTCTGCCCTCCCCCTCAACAAGCCCTGTGACGCGATTGGCCTTCTGGCTGGTGACCGTTTTCATTACCCTGGGCTCCGAACCCCACTCATTCCATGGCGGGGTCCCCGGACAGAGAGAAGGGCGAATGGTAGGCCTATCTGAAATGCACAAGCTGCATTTACTGAACACCTTAAGCCTTTAATAAACTTTGTTTTCTTTTTTATGTCTGTCTCAGACTGTTTCCCGAATAATGGGCCTATCTTGTGGTTACTGTAGGCCTAGATGTTATACATCTAGATACACTAGGCCTAATATAAAATTAGATGATGAAGTAAAAATAGAGATGGGGACATTTTAAATAATTATTTTTATTTGTTGGCTATGCAAAAAATATTGTGTGAAAATTACTATTGGTATTTGTTAAATAAATGCAAATAGCCATTATTGGCCACATGCGTGATAATAAGCCTCATCTGAAATACAGTTAACACTCACAAGAGGGTAGCGTTGCACTCTTATCAATCCAAGGTTATACGGACGAGGGACAGGTGATGAACGAAACAACCAAAGAAATGTCACCTTTCACATGTCACATTATGCTGCCCAATATCTGTCCACCGTGCCTCCGTCAGAGCGTTATTCCAACTCTCTCTCTCTCTGCACCCTGGTCACATTAAAATGCCCTGGTCCCTGTGTGATGATGGACCAAGGACTGGAAGGTGGAATATCTTCTCACAGTCATGACGATGCTCTCTGAATAAGTCAATAGACAGTTAGTCAAACACACACACATTGCATTGTCCCATGCAGGGGCAGACTGGCCAACTGGCATTTCTGGCAAATGCCAGATGGGCTGGTCAATTTTTTGCCCAGTGGGCGTGTCTAACTTTTTTTTTTTTGTTGTAGCACAAAATGATAATTATTTGGCTAATAATGCGGGCCTCAAGGAAAAAAATGTGTTAGAAATGCCAGGGCCGATTTCTGGTCCCAGTCTGCCCCTGATCCCTTGTTCTCTTCACATCAGGCTACAAACAAAATAAATAGCGAGAAAAAGGAAAATGTGAAGGGTTGACTCACTTTTGTATTCGGCCACATTCGTGAGCCTCCGTTCGCTGTCCATGGTGCTGAAACGACTCATTTATGTCCGCATGTAAAGTAGTGTCCATTGGGATAGAATATCTAATTCCACTTGCCCAACCTGACCTGGTAAATAGATATCATGATTTCCTAAACTGTTTTCTTCCCTACATACATACGTACACTATTTCAGTCACATGCCCCCCCCCCCCATCTCAGTTATCGATATAATAGTCGTGCACCTGGTTCGTGATCCATGTGGAGCAACGTTTTCTTCCTCTCTCCCTTTATTTATAAATAAAACAAAAAATGACCCTGCCATGGCACCATTGAAAACACAATCACATGACGTAGGCCTTCTAGGAGAGTGTCATTTTCTTCCCTGAGACCCGATGCCTCCCACTTTCTCTGCTTGAGTTAAATATTTATCCGTTCTGTCAACGTAAAGCAGCAACAGGCAATCCAGTAAGGATCAGTAACATATACACCCTCAACATTGTGTTGATTCAATCATTTTCATTTTCTCTCGCTCTCTTGTTTATCGTCATCTGCCATTCATCTGCATCTGCATGCTCTCCATCCGCTCCAATCACTGAAACTAGGCCTATTTTTGAGAATGAGCTAGACCTACTTAGGTGATTCATATAGAAAATGTGTAGACATTTTTAGACTTTTCTAGACATGTTTTATGTAGGCCTAGAAAGTCTCTGTTATCACCTTTTAAAAGCTCTTAAAATAGGGACCTTTCCATTAGATCTAGGTCAAACTCACTCACCCTTCCTCTTTTTTCCTTCCCATTTAGTTTCAAAATTGAAACACCTTTTTCCAGTTCCCACGCTGTTATCCTTATCTGTTGTTACATATATAGTACAAACACAGTAACACACGGTATAAAACCAATGGGCTCTCTTTGCTGTCCTGCAGTCACTTACAGCCCTGCTACACAACAGCTCCGAAAACTCAGGGAAGATGAGCATAAGTGTGTGTGTGTGTGTTTGTGTGTATGTGTGTGTGTGTGTTAGAAAAGGAGAGGAAGAGAGACGGACAGAAAATCAGTTTGACAGTACATTTTAGACATTATGCTCTATGTATACAATGTTGCTTGTTGGTACAAGTCTGTTGTTTTGCCAAATAACAAGTCAACAAGGTACCGAACTGTCAGATACCAAGAGTAGTTTCTTGCCACCCACTTTAAACCTGTGTATGTGTATGGCAGGGCTTTATGCTTTTGGTGCTGCTCTCCTCAGGACTGCTCAGAGGTCTATGACAATAGCTTCACCCACAGTGGAGTGTTTACCATCTACCCTGCAGGCCCCACCTCTGCTGTCTACGCCTACTGTCACATGGACACTGATGGAGTGAAATGGACTGTGAGTATGAAAGAGAGATCAAGAGAGAGAACAGTGAAAGTGAGAAGAGAGAGAGAGAACAGTAAGAGAGAACAGTGAGAGAGAACAGTGAGAGAGAACAGTGGGGATGGGGTAAAGTGAAGACTGTGATCTTGTGTTTCTTTCCCAGGTCTTCCAGAGACAAATGGATGGGTCTGTGAACTTCTACAGAGACTGGGACCACTACAAGAATGGCTTTGGGCATGCTGCAGGAGAGACCACTGGCTGAGGTAAGGGCTTTATATATGGACTGGGTTGTACTGCACCAGCTATGTGTAAGTTATGTTCACCACTGACTGTAAAGTTCTTACTAAATCCATTACTAGTTAGTTTATAACTAGTGGTTTACTAAATTGGGTTGCCGGTTTGGAGACCCTCGATCACCTGTCCAGGGGTAAGAAGACAGAGCTGTGGGTGGACATGCAGGACTTTGAGGGCCAGAAGGTGTTTGCTTTCTACCGTTCCTTCTACATTGACTCAGGGTGTTTCTCAATATGCATACTACCGTGCTCCACACTCTCATGCTCCGAGTGCATTCTCCGACCATGTTCTCTTGAGTACGTCCTTGTGAGGACGAGACTGTGGAGAACGCATAAAACATTACATTTGAGAAGCACTCGCACTCCCCCTACTGTATTACCTCACGCTGCACCTCCCCATTCACTGAACCTTCTTCCAAGATATACACAATACAAACATCTTACTTCATAATTATCTGCTAGATATGTAAATTGTAATAATCTAGCTAGCCAGCTAGTTAAACATGCAAAAAAAAACTAATGTTTGCACGGTAGATGTACATTTTTCGTGGGTAGCTACATTTTAGTCATTTAGCAGACGCGCTTATCCAGAGCGACTTACAGTTAGTGAGTGCATACATTATTAAAAAAAATTATAATTCATACTGGCCCCCCGTGGGAAGTGAATCCACAACCCTGGCGTTGCAAACACCACGCTCTACCAACTGAGCTACATCCCTGCCGGCCATTCCCTCCCCTACCCTGGACGAATTGTGCACCGCCCCATGGGTCTCCCGGTCGCGGCCGGCTACGACAGAGCCTGGATTCGAACCCGGGTCTCTAGTGGCACAGCTAGCACTGCGATGCAGTGCCTTACACCACTGCGCCACTCGGGAGCTACCAATTCTTCGTAGCTAGCAAGCTAGCCAGTTAGCCCTATTGACTTACTATGGACTAACCGTCTTCCAGCCAGGACAACAATGGCAGTAGAAACTAAACAAGATATACACAAAGAAACCGTTTTACTTCATAACTATCAGCTAGCTATACAGTGCATTCGGACAGTATTCAGACCCCTTTACTCTTTCCACATTTTGTTACGCTACAGCCTTATTCTAAAATTGATTAAATTACTTTTTTCCCTCATCAATCTACACACAATACACCATAATGACAAAGCAAAAACAGGTTTTTAGAAATGTTTGCAAATTTAAAACAGGGCCTCCCAGGTGGCGCAGTGGCATAAGGCACTGCATCACAGTGTTGCGGTGTCACTACAGCCTGGGGTTCGATCCCAGGCAGTTTCGTTTTCCGGCCGTGACCGGGTGTCCCATAGGGCAGCGCACAATTGGCCCAGCGTCGTCCGGGTTAGGAAAGGGTTTGGCCGGGGGGGCTTTACTTGGCTCATCGCGCTCTAGCGACTCCTTGTGGCAGGCCAGGCACCTGCAGGCTGACCTTGAGTTGAACGGTGTTCCATCTGACACATTGGTGCAGCTGGCTTCCGGGTTAAGCGAGCGGGTGTTAAGAAGAGCGGTTTGGCAGGTCATGTTTCGGAAGACGCGTGACTCGACCTCTCCCGAACCCGTTGGGGAGTTGCAGCGATGAGACAAGATTGTAATCACGAAATTGGGGGTAAAAATTACAATAAATAAATACATTAATAATAATAATAACATAGAGATACCTTTTTACATAAGTATTCAGACCCTTTGCTATGAGACTCAAAATTGAGCTCAGGTGCATCCTGTTTCCATTGATCATCCTTGAGATGTTTTTACAACTTGATTGGAGTCCACCTGTGGTAAATTCAATTGATTGGACATGATTTGGAAAGGCACACACCTGTCTATATAAGGTCGCACAGTTGACAGTGCATGTCAGAGCAGAAACCAAGCCATGAGGTCAAAGGTATTGTCTCTAGAGCTCCAAGACAGGATTGTGTTGAGGGACAGATCTGGGGAAGGGTACCAAAAAATGTCTGCAGCATTGAAGGTCCCCAAGAACACAGTGGCCTCCATTATTCTTAAATGGAAGAAGTTTGGAACCACCAAGACTCTTCCTAGAGCTGGCCACCCAGCCAAACTGAGCAATCGGGGGAGAAGGGCCTTGGTCAGGGAGGTGACCAAGAACCTGATGGTCACTCTGACAGAGCTCCAGAGTTCCTCTGTGGAGATGGGAGAACCTTCCAGAAGGACAACCATCTCTGCAGCACTCCACCAATAAGGCCTTTATGGTAGAGTGGCCAGACAGAAGCCATTCCTCAGTAAAAGGGACGACAGCCTGCTTTGAGTTTTCCAAAAGGCACCTAAAGGACTCTCAGACCATGAGAAACACGATTCTCTGGTCTGATGAAACCAAGATTGAACTCTTTGGCCTGAATGCCAAGTGTCACGTTTAGAGGAAACCAGGCACCACTCTTCACCTGGCCAATACCATCCCTACGGTGAAGCATGGTGGTGGCAGCATCACACTGTGGGATGTTTTTCAGCGGCAGGGACTGGGAGACTAGTCAGGATCGAGGGAAAGATGAACGGCGCAAAGTACAGAGAGATCCTTCATGAAAACCTGCTCCAGAGTGCTCAGGACCTCAGACTGGGGCGAAGGTTCACCTTCCAATAGGACAATGACCCTAAGCACACAGCCAAGACAATGAAGGAGTGGCTTCGGGACAAGTCTCTGAATGTCCTTGAGTGGTCCAGCCAGAGCCCAGACTTGAACCCGATCGAACATCTCTGGAGAGACTTGAAAGTAGCTGTGCAGCGACGCTCTTCATCCAACCTGACAGAGCTTGAGAGGATTTGCAGAGAAGAATGGGAGTAACTCCCCAAATACAGGTATGGCAAGCTTGTAGCGTCATATCCAAGAAGACTCGAGGCTGTAATCGCTGCCAAAGATGCTTCAACAAAGTACTGAGTAAAGGGTCTGAATACTTATGTAAATGTCATATTTAAGTTGAGTCTTTTTAATAAATGTGCAAACATTTCTAAAAACCTGTTTTTGCTTTGTCATTATGGGGTATTGTGTATAGATTGATGAGGGGGAAAAAACTATTTAATAAATTCTAGAATAAGGCTGTAACGTAACAAAATGTGGAAAAAGTGAAGGTGTCTGAATACTTTCCGAATGCACTGTATGTGAATCGTAATAATGTACATAACCAGAGAAGTGCCCTCCGTGCTCCGTTTCGCATACTTTGATTTGGAACTCATACTTCGACCCTCCCGTGCTCCAATTTGTGTGCTCGGAGTACGGTAGTGTGCATTTTGAGAAACGGATACAAGCTCCACGTCTTCAACTTTAAGATGGCGGGGCAGGTGAGATAGAAATCAGAGCTGCTCACTTTATTGGTCGATTCATGAATGACTCATTTGTAATATATTATGGTGTTTTTCACAGCAATAGAAAAGAAAATGGTAGATTGTTTCTACTCATTCTATTGTGGGGTGTTATGTTGAATGCCACATCTGGATACAAAATTATTCACAGTTCAATTAAATTCACAATCAAACTAAACTCAATTCAACTCAACTGAACCCGATTGATCACCTCAATTCAATTCAATTCAATTCAATTCAATTCAAACCTGAACCCCTTTCACCAGGTGATGCCCTCTCCCACCACAACATCCAGAGGTTTTCCACCTGCGACCGGGAGTAGGACAGCAGCCATGTGAACTGTGCTGAAAGTTACCTGGGAGGCTTCTGGTACACCAATTGTGTCTACAGCCAGAAGAGTCTGCAAAATTGCAATTGTATCACAACTAAGCCCAAAAATAGATTGTATTTTGGTGTTTGGTATTTTATTAGGATCCCCATTAGCTGTTACAAAAGCAGCAGCTACTCTTCCTGGGGTCCACACAAAACATGAAACATGACATAATACACAACATTAATAGACAAGAACAGCTCAAGGACAGAACTACATAAAACATATTTTAAAGGCACACGTAGCTTACATATCAATACATACACACAAACTATCAAGGTCAAATAGGGGAGAGGCGTTGTGCCGTGAAGTGTTGCTTTATCTGTTTTTTGAAACCAGGTTTGCTGTTTATTTGAGCAATATGAGATGGAACAGAGTTCCATGCAAAAATGGCTCTATATAATACTGTATGCTTTCTTGAATTTGTTCTGGATTTGGGGACTGTGAAAAGACCCCTGGTGGCATGTCTGGTGGGGTAAGTATGTGTGTCAGAGCTGTGTGTAAGTTGACTATACAAACAATTTGGGATTTTCAACACATTAATGTTTCTTATAAAAATAAGAAGTGATGCAGTCAGTCTCTCCTCAACTCTTAGCCAAGAGAGACTGGCATGCATAGTATTTATATCAGCCCTCTGATTACAATGAAGAGCAAGATGTGTCGCTCTGTTTTGGGCCAGCTGCAGCTTAACTAGGTCTTCCCTTGCAGCACTGGACCACACGACTGGACAATAATCAAGATTAGACAAAACTAGAGCCTGCAGAACTTGCTTTTTGGAGTGTGGTGTCAAAAAAGCAGAGCATCTCTTTATTACGGAAAGAACTCTCCCCATCTTTACAACCATTGAATCTATATCTGCTAAATGACTAAAATGTAATGTAAATGTATATGTTTTGACCATGATAGTTTACAATCTAAGGGAACGCCAAGTAATTTAGTCTCCTCAACTTGTTCAACAGCCACACCTTTCATTACCAGATTCAGCTGAGGTCTAGAACTTAGGGAATGATTTGTACCAAATACAATGCTCTTAGTTTTAGAGAAGTTCAGGAACAGTTTATTAGTGGCCACCCATTCCAAAACAGACTGCAACTCTTTGTTAAGGGTTTTTGTGACTTCATTAGCTGTGGTTGCTGATGCGTATATGGTTGAATCATCAGCATACATGGACACATATGCTTTGTTTAATGCCAGTGGCAGGTCATTGGTAAAAATAGAAAAGAGTAGGGGGCCTAGAGAGCTGCCCTGTGGTACACCACACTTTACATGTTTGACATTAGAAAAG